GCTCCTCACTGAATGCACTTTACAGACAGAACCTGGAGCAGTGGGCTAACGGCAGTAGACCTGCAACACTACCTTTCTAAACTTTCACTGGGAGCTGCCTGGAGCTCCTTGTCCAACGGCCTAGTAGAAATGCTAACCTGTTAAACGACCAGGAAATGCTGGTTTCCTTGTGTTCGGAACTGCATGGTATGGTATGTCTCACGTGTTCCAAGGAAAGAATTCATGGGGCACACTTGTTTCAGGATAAGGACCTTAACCCAAGCAGCTGAGGAATGTAGTCCCTTAGTTCACAGATGTGTAACTTCAGTGTTCCATTAAGATACTTGGTGTCTCACCTCCTGAAAATGCCTTACTGACCCACTGAAGAGGCCACAGGCCTCTTCAACCCTCATACAACCCAGAGTCTCCCATAGTCCCACAAGATTTTTTTTTTAAACCAAGCACAAAGAAGAAATATTTTTGTGGGTGTGACCGTGTTCTTTCTCTAGGGAAGTTGTTTTTTAGGGTAACGTGCATTTCATCCTAACACTTGTGAATCTAGTATTTGTGTTTCTTAGATCATGTCTCACTTAACGTGGTTCCATAAACTTGTAAATCAAGTCTTTGTGTCTCTTACATCACGTTGCACTTCAAGGTACATGGTGTCAATGGGATTGAAAGGAAAAGACTTTCAGGCAGCGTCATCATGCACTAGGCTTCTATAAGAAATGTCGGAAAGTTGTTTCTTACCATAAGAAAGGAGTGCTGCACCATATTCGTTCTTGGAGCATAAGATACACTTGACGTGTGGATGCAGGAAATGAACTATTGAAGAGATCTGTCCTACTGCTTCTCCTATAGGAACCATCAAGCCCACCCAGAATGCATTGTTCTAAAAACCAATGGGAGTGAAGTTCTTTCACACCGCAGGAAAGGCGTTTCCCTTAGAGAAAATGGAAGCTTTTCTTACACGCTAGTAGGAGTAGGTTTCATACAGATTGTTCATGGAGGGTGTGGAACTTGTATCCGGGATTTGGAGCAGCTGCTGAAATGTTTGGGAGACCTGCAAAGCTAGTTTTCCCACCTGTCCTTGCAAGCTGCGGTGGAGCTCTCTTCCATGGCCAAAGAAACTGAGGGCGGGAGGCTTTTGCACTCTACAGAGAGTCTTGTTTCTCATTCTGTAAATGTATATGTTTCTCACTAGGTAGATGAAAGAACTTTGAGGCAAAGGGGATGGAACTCAACCCAGGTGGCTGAAGCAGGCAGTGTTTGATTTCCTAGACTAGGAACTCTTTTGTTTGTATAGGCTACCTTGAATCTTCCTGTATGCAGTAGCTCATGGAGAAGATAATGGGATCAAGGTGAAGATAATGGGATCAAGGCTTCTTCAACCACCTGACAATGAAGAGTTCCTTAGAGTAACCAGAAGATCTTGTTACCAAGCTACCAAGCACAAAGTTTTTCTAACAATTTTATACCTTGTGGTTTACCGATGTGTATCCAGCACTTATTATTCTTAAAGGATGTTGATCTCCACTTACTGTGCTCTCTCCAATTGAAAGCAGAATCCTTTCACTGGGCATAGGTAAACATGATTTTCATAGAAGGAGAATGCAGCCAATTGTTTCCTAACGTAAGAAATAAGTACTATGCACTTTGTTCTTTCATTGAGTATAAGATATATTTGAAGTGTGGTGTATGTATAATAATATAGTTTTTCAGAGATCCGTACAACTGCTCTTTCTCAAGGTACTTTAAAGCTGTGTCAAGGTTCGAGTTCTAAAGGTAAGAGTGAAGGCTTTTAATACTGTAAGAAAATGCTAGCTTCCCAGATAGAAAATATATTCGTTTCTTATAATCTAGATGAACAAAGTTTTATATGGATTGTTCTTTCAGTGTATGGAACTTGTATACAGGATTTGGAGTAGCTAGTGAAATGTTTGAGATACCTGCCAACCTACCCTTTCTAGTGTGGAGATGTATAAATGTCAATCACTGGCCAGGCTGGTGGAAATCTGACCATGGCTTCTGTGACTGTCTGCGGTCCCCAGCAGGGGTCTTAATTTTTTTCTAATAGAATTTTGAAAAACTATCTATACTCTCCATCATTTAAAAAGCTGTATCTAAATTTTCACCTTAATTTTAAAGAGTTTTCTTATATAAATACAAATGTTGAAAATAAATTACCTTACTCTTTAAACATAAAATAAGAAAATCATCTATTCCATCTAGATGTTAAAATTTATTAGTATGTGTTAAACTTCAAATTGTGATGTAAAGTCCTAGAATGTATATCAGAAATAAAACTGTTTTTCACCCTGCAATTCTTTCTTCCCATATCATGAACCTTACATATTCATCTATAGTGAACAATTATAATTTTATTCAGAAATTCCACAACAAAATAATCAGTGTCTCATCTAAGACTGATTTTTGATGACTACTGTTTTGAAAGCTTAATGCTGAAGATTAGCATCACTAACATATAGTAACAAGATATATAATTGCCTGCACAGCCATCGTTCACAGAAAGAGTTTTTTCTTTAGGTAGTCTAAAGCATTACTACTACAAAGCAATGCATGCTGAGAGTACAGTATTAAGAATAAACCATAATTCAAAAAGAGTCATGTACCAAAATGTTCATTGCAGCTCTATTTACAATAGCCAGGACATGGAAGCAACCTAAGTGTCCATCAACAGATGAATGGATAAAGAAGATGTGGCACATATATACAATGGAATATTTCTCAGCCATAAAAAGAAACGAAATTGAGTTATTTGTAGTGAGGTGGATGGACCTAGAGTCTGTCATACAGAGTGAAGTAAGTCAGAAAGAGGGCTTCCCTGGTGGCGCAGTGGATGAGTCCGCCTGCTGATGCAGGGGACACGGGTTTGTGCCCTGGTCCGGGAAGATCCCACATGCCGTGGAGCGGCTAGGCCCGTGAGCCATGGCTGCTGAGCCTGCGTGTCCGGAGCCTGTGCTCTGCAACGGGAGAGGCCACAACAGTGAGAGGCCCGCGTACCACAAAAAAAAAAAAAAAAAAAAGAGAGAGAGAAAAATACTGTATGCTAACACATATACATGGAATCTAAGAAAAAAAAAAAAAAAGGTCATGAAGAACCTAGGGGTAAGACGGGAATAAAGACACAGACCTACTAGAGAATGGACTTGAGGATATGGGGAGGGGGAAGGGTAAGCTGGGACAAAGCGAGAGAGTGGCATGGACACATATATGCTACCAAATGTAAAATAGATAGCTAGTGGGAAGCAGCTGCATAGCACAGGGAGATCAGCTCGGTGCTTTGTGACCACCTAGAGGGGTGGGATAGGGAGGGAGACGCAGGAGATATGGGAACATATGTATATGTATAACTGATTCACTTTGTTATAAAGCAGAAACTAACACACCATTGTAAAGCAATTATACCCCAATAAAGATGTTAAAAAAAAAAGAATAAACCAAAATGTTTTCCCTTCTGCATGATAATTTGACCTCTGTGCCTCCTGGAAGCTTGACATAAGGTATGTTAACTGGGTAACTATGGCATATATGTAGGTAAAACACAATCCCTGATTGCACTGGACTGGAACAAACTATGAAAGAACTAGAAATACCCAATAATGACACCATAGCTTTGGCTAACAGAATAATTAGGTCTAACTGACAATTCTTAAGTTTTGCTATTTAAATAAAGGCGTTAAAAGATCATATTTGGGGCTTCCCTGGTGGCGCAGTGGTTGGGAGTCCGCCTGCCGATGCAGGGGACACGGGTTCGTGCCCCGGTCCGGGAAGATCCCACATGCCGCGGAGCGGCTGGGCCCGCGAGCCGTGGCCGCTGAGCCTGTGCTTCCGGAGCCTGTGCTCCGCAACGGGAGAGGCCACGACAGTGAGAGGCCCGCGTACCACAAAAAAAAAAAAAAAAAAAAAAAAAAAAA